GAATTTTTATTCTTAGGAAAATTGTTCTTGATTAGGGTTAGCGACACGGTATTTGTTAAATTGACGACGTAAAAAATAAAATAACAAATAAGGCCCTGCCGGATATTGCTTAAGTTTTAGAGAACCCATTCAAGGTTTGAGAACTACTGCCCTACAATCTGAAGATAAAAATTCTATGAAGCATGACGCAATACTTTCTTTATATCCTGCATCATGTGACACAGATGTGTCGTAATCACATCACAAACATTTTTTTTTAAATCAAGGACGATGAAACATTACATTACATCCAAACGTGCTTTTTTTAGCGTTCATTAGCATTATATATATATATCTATCAATTGCCTTCTTGTTCATAAATTTAAAACAAATGTCTATTTTTATAGTTCATTAGCATTAATTATATTCATCAATGTTGCTTTCATGTTCATAAATTTAAAACAAATGTCCATTCTTTAAGTTCATTAGCATTAATATCCTCCATCAACCTTGATTAGTCACTCTCAGTTATTTAAAACACCGATAAAGGTGTCAAGGTGCTAAAAGGTTAAACGCGTCAGTTTTTCCAAGTAAAGGTACAAAAAGCTTAGCACGGATCAAGGTCAGCTTAAGCGTATCAAGGTAAGCCTTACATAACGCTATTTATAACAGATAAAAGTACGGTTTACATGTGATGTGTTGGATAAAAGTGCCGGTTAGTATAAAGTTATTGGAAATATTAAAGTACAGGTTGTTATAACGTTATTTGAAATATAAAAGTGCCCGCTTTGTTATATCCCCCCCCCGCCCCCAATATAGATTAGTATAGTTACGTAAAAAAAATTACCCCTCTCCCTTATTATTCAACTTCCGGAGTAGTAGCAAGATTCATTCCTTTAGGACTGCACGGTTTAAAATTCTAGAAAACAAGTATCACTTTGATGTAAACCCTTCATTCTTTATACTAAAAAACGTCAAACAAACGAATCAAATTACAAATATAACAAACGTTTTTCCTCGACTTTCGTACATTAAATATATTTTTTTTTTGTAAACTACGACGAAGACATAAAGTCTGTACGTCATTCCTTTTGTTTCCTACCACGGTGTTATGATATAGGCCTAATGCGCGAAGACACAGCCTTGGGCGATGTAAAAGTATTTATGTTGGAAATACTGAAACATTTCATTTGACCTTTATTTTTTAATTAATTTAGCATTTTTAAAATTTGCCATCAAACATCGCCATAAAACGGAGGAGGTTCCTAACTTTTTGAAAAAAAAATCTTCGCAAATACCTTAAAACCCTCACAAATCTCAACGCCCCCTCCCCCCCCCCCCCCATGTCCCCTCAGCCCATAAAATTTATACCTAGTAATAATTTATGAACTAAGAAAGAAAATAAAAACTTCACGCAGAGCTTACACGTGAACTCTACTTCCCATGTCACGTGGACCGCCAGGTCTGAAAGGGAACTTTTAAGTTTTTATAGTCTGTTTAACCCCCCCCCCCCCCCCCCTTCCCCCACCCACCCAGGCCCAGTACACGGCTATGTATAAAATAATATAATAATAGAATTATCCGTACTATAAGCTAAACCAGGGGTCTCCAAACTACGGCCCGCGGGCCGGATGCGGCCCGCGAGGTCCTCTCATCCGGCCCGCGGAGTTCTTTTTGTCCACGGAAAAAACGTTTGTTGGTGATGGCTGAGGAACTTTGCCCAGAAAAATCAAAGACATGCCTGGAAGAAACTGGCCCCCGAACTGAAATTTGATAGTTAATGCGGCCCTCGGACTGAAAAGTTTGGAGACCCCTGAGCTAAACAAAGGGCTGGAGTGATATAAATAGGCGTCAATCAATGAAGTATTTAGCTAAGTAAGGCAGGAGAACAAATGTGTTCTGTGTTCAATACAGGACATCTTCCTTTGTCCAGAAACTGTGTCCAGCTGTACGAGAAGCTGTTGCCTGTCTGAAGCCAAACCCCGTCCTTTGAATCTTGGTAAGGCCGTCAACATTAAATTACCTGTAAACCTACCTTCAACCTCCCCGCCCCCACCCAAATATCGATCGTGGAACACACCGAAGACGGTAAGCCTAACCAAATCAAGTCAATACAAAACGTTAAAGGGCCTGATCTGAAAGGGTAGATGGTGATCGATTGGACAGCAGATGCTGTGCTATGGTGGGAACAGCTGCTGGAGGGTGGGGGGGGGGCAGGCGTCACCCGTTGGTAAATGTCACTAGATGTCACTGAATGTCAGTGAACGTCATTTTGATCATTTTTCTTACTGTTGTGATTGTGAAGAACGTACGCTTACCGCTGCTGTATTTATTTTTATGTTGAATCAATTATTCATCTCACACCAACGTATTAATAATTAAGTTTCCATCCAAGGTGTCTTTATTCACCAAAATAAAAAAAAATCGTAAAAAATTAATATAGCATTTTACAGCTTTAAATCGAAATAGGGAAATGAAATTCGTAATGGAGAGTTTGTAGGCAACAATCCCCACACACACGCCGACAGAGGGACCATCACCCAAACCGCTAGCAGCAACGGTCAAGGCCAGTTACATAATCCGTCTGGCGGAAAGTGTGCCTGTGATGTAATCACCAGAGGGCGCGTTACGCAACACGTTTTTGTCCTTGACCCAGATAAGCAGCCGACTAGCAGCCGACAGTTTTTCGAGGCTAATTACGTGATAGTTGCAGTAAAATGTCGACCTCAGTGGTCAGATGATTGCCAGATAAAAAAATATGTATTTAACATCTAACGTAAGACTTCATGTATAAGAATAAATTCGTTAATTTCGTCAATAAGAAAGTTAGAGCAGATCTACATCGATAAACACTTGTGTTTTGATAATAGCAGTGCGGTTAAGCGAAGAGTAACATATTTAGACGTAATTAATCTCCACGGGTAAAGTTCAGCTATGTTTAGATAGAGAACTATTTTTATACGGAATTAATTAAGCTATGTCATCGATTTTTATCTTATAGTTCAATGCGCTTCGTCATTAAGACATTCGATCAGACTTAGGTAACAAAAAACAAAACAAAAAAAAACAAAACCCTAACAAATGTAGCAGTTGGTGTCTTGTGTTACACGAATGGACAATTTTTAAATCGGAAATATTTATTTTTACTTTTTTTCCATCTAACATGTTGGACACTCCCCCACACTCCCCACACAACTTGGACACTCCCTCACACTCCCCACACAACTTGAGCACTCCCTCACACACAGTCATACCCACACTCACATGAAATGAATTCGCGCTATTTTGCCCGCTCTCCATACGTCGCGGTAACATAAAGTGCGAATACACATTCTGATGTAAATAACATAACTTTGTTACGCTTCACTGTCAGCCGTGAAATGCCGGTCAAATGCCGGTCAATAGATCAACAACGTGCTATTCAAGCGGACTATCGATTACAGGAGAAAAATCGATATCTAAGGGGATTATGTTCAGATTGTTGGCTGGGTAACAATGTTAGGGTACAGTACATGACAGTACTAGGGTACAGTACTCGGGATGGTACAAGGGTACAGTACATGACAGTACTAGGGTACAGTACTCGGGATGGTACTAGGGTACAGTACATGACAGTACTAGGGTACGGTACTCGGGATGGTACTAGGGTACAGTACATGACAGTACTGCGGTACAGTACTCGGGATGGTACTAGGGTACAGTACATGACAGTACTAGGGTACGGTACTCGGGATGGTACTAGGGTACAGTACATGACAGTACTAGGGTACGGTACTCGGGATGGTACTGGGTACTGTCCCAAGGGAGGGTACTAGGGTTAAGTACATAACAGTACTATGGTATAGTGCTCGGAAATATATCAGGAGACTGTCCCAAGTGATGGTACTATGGTAGTGTCCCAAGTGATGGTACTTGGGTACAGTGCTCGGGGTGGTACTAGGGTAAAGTACATGACAATAATTGGTACAGTGTACTACAGTACTAGGGTACAGTACTCGGTTCCAGGATATGTCAGTACTATAGTACAGTACTCGGGTACAGTATTAGTATTTAGCACAACATGACAAGGGTACAGTTTTTACAGTTCAAAAGAGGTCATCCTTTGATCACTTTCTACGAACGCCAAATCCTTTAAAGTAACGTAATACTTGTATAGGTAAAAATAAAATAAAATTCAGTAACACCGGCGGATATGAGAGAGAAGAATTTAGGATGGGTGAGTTGGTGATGGGTGCGGGTCGATAGATAGGTGTGTAGGGGTGGGGTGGTGGTGGTGGGGGGGGGGGGGTAGAAATTTGTTACCGACGTGTTTTTGTAGCTTCCAGTTAGAACTACACCAGAGAAACGACACAACCACTCACAAACAACACATTACCCCAAGGCATGAAAGTGACATTGTTGAAATAAAATGCTATAATTTTCTCATAACAACACCGTCTTAATTAGATTAATCGTGTGTAATATCGCCCGCTGTATATGATAATTCCTTATTTTTAAAAAAAATGAGTTAAAAATATAGTCTAAATACCAGAGTGATTAAATCAAAACAGTGAAACACTTTAATTGTATGATATAATATGATCATGATATTTTCCCGTTCGTGTCCGAGACACATGGACATATGAAGTAGAGTTCATCCTTTTCAATGACCTTGACATACAAGAGGATATTGTGGTCAGCACTATGGCAAGCCGCCTTTGTATCCCTAACGTGAGTCAGGTATTTCTTCTTCTTCTTCGTTCTTAACTTTTAGTGTTGGGAGGGATCGAGCCATATCTGCCAGAGGGTTTGAACTCGAGACTTTTTTTTCGAATTTATCAATTATGAGCTTTTGCCGACTCGACCAAGTCAGGTATTGTATCCGAACTTTTAATCACGTTCTTAAATTTTACCCTCCCCATCCATCCCCACTATTTCGACTTTAAAAAAAAGTTAATCTATAAATATATTTTTGTGAATGAAAAATGTTTTGTTGAATGTATGTATTTTAATGTTTTAGTAAAATAATGACAAGAACTTACCTAAATCGTGAGAAACTTTCTTTGAGGGCACTGAAGTTGATTGGTGAATCACAAGCTAACATCTCTCTGTTGAAATAAACACAAGGCTGTCATTAGCACAGCAGAACAGCTGATTAATTAACGCGACAGCTGATGAACTAACGCGACAGCTGATTAACTCGGACACTCGGCGGGGGACTGCATGCTACTATCGCCAGCCGACAATGAAATACGCAACGTGTGTTTTCGTGAACCGCCGCCTGTTATCGGGTCGGTTACGTCATAGCCCGAGCGAGACATTCCGCTAGAGAGGGCTGGCTGTTGCGCAAGACGCCGGTACAGACGACAATGGAAAAAATTTGATCACTCTAAAACGGCGGAGAGGGGTGGCAGCATGGGTTAAAAATAGACCACGATTTGTCTAAACTAAATATAGACCATTTAGACAAAACTTAAATGGGATTAACTACCAAATATATAAAAGTATTACATTTTATATGAGTTTATTGCAAATAAATCACAATTTACTTGGTATAAAAAGAAGGGTGGTTCAATCGTGCCTTCACTACGACCTGTCTCACATAAAAAAAAAAACAACCACCCAGACATCTGATTGGATAAGAGGTTCAGAATGAAGCAACAAGCCGGTAACAACAGCACGAGATTACACAACAAGTGTGAACTTTGAACCCTGACCTAACTAGCACGAACTCTCTTGATTTCTATTCTACCTTCGCTAAATCAGTAGCTCACACCCAACGCAAGACTACTGAATATTTTTTTAAAGAGTAATTTTGGTGTTACCAAAAATTCCCGACAGCCGATCCTAGCTAGGTAAAACGTGTATTTCTGTTAGCGAAGTTTAAGGTCAAACTTACGTAAACAGGCCTGGTGACGTCAGCATCCAAAACGCAAATAAGAGATATTCTATATTTAGACTAACCGTTTCTGGGTCACACATTTGGCGATGCGGGCGATTGATCGCTGGACACGAAAATCAATTTGAACGGTTCGATTTTTTTTTTATATCCGGAGCGCATCGTTTGTTAACCTCTGCTCATGATTTCACCACTTGTTTTGAAACCGAAAAACACTGCTCACCCGACACTGCGTCAACTGTCGTGGTTTTTATTTACGACCTTCCGTGCTAACTTTAAACAAATGCACGGCCCGCGTTGATTTACATTAAAATATATTTATTTATTGTTAGACCCACGGCTAATCGATAATCAATAATTTATTTTGGTAATATTATTTTGCCATATCGAATTGTTTATTTGTTTATTTGTGGTTATTTCAAACCACACACACACACACACACAAAACATCAACATTTATTTTAAATGAATAAATGGGAATACAGACATCTGGTTCGTATCGATTAGCCGTACCCACATAATCGCGTAGCTGGCATCGAAAATATTAGCATATTTGTAACAATTAGTTTAGGATTAAGCTTAAGCTTTTGCTTTGTAGTAAGGGTTAAATTTATGGTTATAATCACAGTTAAAATATCGTTATAGCTTATACGAGCTATATATGTATTGTGGGTATGGTTAATCAATAAATATGTCTACCAACGCATTGCAAACGCGTTGGTGTAAAATAAAATTCTAAAAAAAAACAAAATATTTTAAAACTCTGAATTATTCAAGGAATATTTGGTTGAAAACATGTATTGGTTTTTATACTAAAACTTAAAGTAGGGCTGTTGTAAAATTGCAACATTGGACAGTGAAAACAATCAAATACCTGTTTGGTTTTTCCGAAGTTCAAGTGGAATAAAATTAAATTCCTATTTCTGACAGCCGAGCGATCTAAAAATATCGCATCACATGAGCCTCATGCTTCAGATAGCCAGGTCGCCGAGTGACCAAATCAATGGATTTTTGAATTGTCCGGTAGGTTTAAAAATAGCTACCACGTCCGAGAGTTGACCGCGGGATGACGTCATCCGAATGTTTTCATGTAGATCGAGCCCATTGCGCATGTCAACGCCTCGCGTGTAACCCTAGGGTCAGCAACGGTCGTGGTGAAGAGGTGAAGTAAAGAAAAAAAATCTACGTGAATCTACGTCTGCTTGCCTGGCGAACTCGCGGGAAGAAATGACTAGCATTGAGCGGTCGAGCTCGGTTATAGCGGTGGGCTGTACTACCGGCTTTAGCGAGCGCTAGGGGACGGGGAAGGGAGGGGGGAGAGTAGGGGGGAAAAAAACTTGACCTCAATCTTCACGGCCGGCGATCTAAATAGGTCACGTTATGCGCTCGTGAATGAAGCTACGGGCCTCTTACTGGGAGATTTAGTATAGACTGCTTGTTGCGCCGCTAACTGTCATATCTAACACACACACACACTCACAGTATACGACACACACACATGACCTACATTCGACATGGGAATACTTAAGTTTAAGGTTAGGTTACTTTGTTATAAATTTATAAAATTCTTTCCACGCTAGGGCGCAGTAGGAATAGCGAAACCCATCAAACCGTCCAATAGTTTTAATTTTTTATCTTTACATATGCACTGAATCTGATGTTAGACATATGGAATACATTTGCACATTTCACGAATACTTAAATATTAATTTATTTTGACTAAAATAAGGAGCCCTTTGTTGTATTCAACTTTTACAAAACACGATTATACAAGTTCAGTACCCTTTAGTAAGCCTGCAATAAATAAATACAGTAGTTAGAGAGTACATTAATTTGAATAAGCCTATATTCATTACATTGATTAGGCCTAAAGAGCATTAATTTAAGTGCTTTAACTAGAGTAGATTACTCTTTAATGTATGGCAAATTGATGTTATATTTTTATGTAAGCAAAAATGGCCGTCACTCGCCATTGGTAATGACTTACACAGCAAGTGTGTGGCACGACAGTAGTGACGTGTAAGCGTGTGTTATGACACGCGTGACATGAGCCGCGTCACACACGCGATACGTCATCGTTCAGCGGACAGTCACTAGAATTTGTGACGTGACGGCAGTTTCAGCTGCCCAGTGTAATAATTAAACGTAGCCGTATACAATATTTTTATATAAGACGTCAACATTTTAAACGTCTGGACTTGGTCAAAGATTTAGTCAGACGTCAACTATATCTTGAGGGTTACGGTACAACGTTGGAGAAAACTCGGATTAAAATTATGAATATCAGTTTAAAAATTGGTTTTTATTTTACAAGGAGAATCTAACATTTTAGAGCAAGCAAGGTCGTTGATTTATAATAATTAAGATAATAACATAATAATAAAAACTAATGACAGTTGCCAGAAGGCTTATATAATCCTAATATATAAAAGCCCAATGTGCGCACATCTCTCTCTCTCTCTCTTTCTCTGTCCGCAAAAAACTTTCGCCGGACATCACGTCAGAATCGGCAGCGATATATCGAGAATTTTTTACGGACTTTTGTTGAAAATAATATGTTAGATGTTTTAAATGTATAACCACAATTTTAGTTAAAGAAGAAAAATAAAAATTAAAGGCGTATTCGAATGTAGGGAAACAGTATTATTTATGCAACCGGAAAAGCATTAATATATGTGAAAAAGAACGCATAAAACTGTGACGTCACTATTGCTTATACATTAACTAATGACGTCATCTGCCGTGTTTAGAATGAAAAGAAATGAACTATTTCATTCAAATTTGATTTAGATCTACGTACACTATGAAATGTATACAATACAATTTTTCCGGCCTAAACTCATAACATTTATTTTATGTATTTGGATTCTAGATCTAGAGATTCTAGATCTAGACTAAATCTAAATCTAAATCTACGCAATAACTAGATCTAGACGTAGACGCTAAGATCTAGATTTAGACTCTAACTTCTCTAAAATCAATTCCAAAAATAAATTTCTATATTAGGACTAAACTATTTCAAGACTTATTTATTTTATACAAAATCTTTGTTTGGAACTGGCTAATTTGGGATAAAAAATTAATTTGAAAGAATAGGCATATTCGCGTAAGTTAAGATTTTAAAATACGTGTTTCATTCTCCGTATTTTATAAGGTGCCTAAATAGCTGAGATGTTAGTGTACATTAAACCACGCAGGTGGTGCGGGTTCGAGACACAGCAAGTCAACTTGGTTAATGTATTCTTTTTTATTATGCTCGGGCTAAACTTAAAAAAAAAAATTCTTTTAGGAATCTAGATCTAGATCTAGATTGTCGGGTGTCCGATAGGGCACTTCCCGGCGCCGCAGGCGCTTCAAATTTGGCATGATCTTGCCTTGGTGCGACAGAACACGGGGGCCGGTTGGCCGAAAAGTCTACGATGTGGGGGTCAAAACTGACCTCGACTGACCGGTACCTTATATGAGCTATAAATCGAAAAAAAATGTCCACGGAGGAACCTCTTCATAGCTCCTGAGGTCGTAGACCGACCTTCGGGCGAATTAATTAAGCATTCAAATTCTCAATGTTTTCGAAAGCCTAAGCGAAGCTGGGCAGCATGCCTAGTATTTTATAATACCGAGACAAGCCTTATTTTAGCTTTATTTAAAAGCTTAGGCTAAAACGTATTAAAACCACAAAGAGTTTCCGAATACTTTCATCATTCATTATAAAACTTCGACTTAAAATAAACGAAATTTTATGACCTTTGTAGTTAATGACTACAATTATTCCGCATATTTTCATATCCTATATTAAATTAATATATTTATAGGATCCTTGATTTTATTGTTGCGTTCATATCAATGGGCTTAATATCAACGGTTGCTTGCAATCAATGAAAATCGTTGCGTTGCTTTTGTGTTAAATCAATCTATGATGGCAACTTACGGTAGTTAGGGCGACCGGCTACTTGAATGTAAGGTAATCTTGACTTACCAGACTGTTGTTCGCCTGATCATGTGACTCGGGACGTCATACGTCATCTGCTCCACGGTCAAAAAAAAACTTCAGGCTGTCTAGATCTATCTCCCACAGGGGGTGGGGGGTGCAACACTGCTGATAAACGAACGGGTCAACGGCCTTGCTCTTGATCTGCTTCACGCAACGGGACGGCTAATCCAAAACGGCTGACCAGTGACGTAAGTGTCCACTTCGAAACGAGGGCGAGAAGGTCCGGCAACAGCGCTGGTCGGCGGTGGCACGGCTGTCTGGGTCGGGCGAAACATCGCCCGGTCAAAACCTGCGGGCGTCACGTGGTTGGAAACTTAACTACGCTGAACTCCGGTGACCTCGAAATGAGGCCAGCCCGGTCCGATTCGCTGGCCGTGGCGTGGTTGAACCTGTACTGTACCACCCCCCACCACCCCGCCCTCGAGTTTTTCCCCCCTCTCACCCCCTTCCCCCCCCCCCCCCCCCCCCAGCACAACAGCCAACTTATGTAGAAGCCGGTTCGCCGGTCAATAGCCGGTCCCAACCTACGTTAGGTCGTAGGCCGCGAACGGAGGCCCCTACCGTACAGCCGAGCGGCTACTTACATGCTGGGGTTGACCGCGTGCCCCCCTCCCGCCCCCACCCCCTTCAACGCGTCATGACAGGCCGACGACTAATTAGGCCATGTTGTGAGTTAATTTTAGAAACAATACATTGATCTGACCGCAGGTAGCTCG